CTTCGGAGGGGGGGGGGGTATTTATAGACCTCCCCCCAATGGTCACTACACGTGGCAACCTCCCACTGGTCACATGAACGGCCACCACCCCCGTGGCCCATTGGGCTGGCACCGGTTTAGAAGTCGGGTCAGGACCACTTCCACAACACCAGCTCACCACCAACAGGCCAACCACTCAACGGCTACACTAAGAAAGCGTGCCCGCATCGGCCTCAACACAGATACTTCAAATGGATAGGTCACATCTCAAGGCATGTCCATATGGGCTTGAACAGAATGCCAATTGCATGGCCTTTTCAACGGCCACAGCGGTAAAATCACCAAGAAACCCCACGCCATCGGCCTTGTGTAAAACCCTGATGATAATTTCTTGAAAGCGACCTGCATCCAAGGGTTCTCCCATAGGGTTACCTTGACCAGGAAATCACCAAGGAATTGGATTCAGGTGTACACAAGAGCCCGCTTCGGCCTAGGTAAATCCTTTACTCCTTCAACCCTCACCTACTCTTCGGCCTGAAGCAGTGGGGGACTGGGGGACTACAGCGGCCTTTGAAAATCAGGACAAAATCAAGGAAATCCAAAAAAAAAACTAAGTCCACAACTACAACATCAGACATGCACCACAACGTCCATAACATTGTGGTGCACCATCGGCCGCAGCAAAGCTAGCGAACAAAGAATTCCCTCCAAAAGTGCAACACTTGAGATCACATGGCACTTATCGGCTTTGAGACCACATACTCCACTCTCGGCCAGGAATCAAAGATCAGGAAGTTAACGTACCTATATCACCATCGTCCATAAGACCAGGACAAGCACCACTCCCCCGGATCAGTGCCGTTATCGTCCTCAAAAGTGTTAACGCCAGACTACGGACATCACCGCTTCAGCCAAAAAACACAGAACACAGTCAACGGCTAAAAGAAGCAAACCGCACCCTCATCGGCCACCCGGAAACAAAGGACGCTCATCGTCCAACAAAAAGGTAGCCCCAACGGCCTCCTCGGCCAACAGTACGAAATTTAACCAACGGTCAGAAGGAGTGAACAGCACCCTTAACGGACACTCAAGATGAAGGACGCTCATCGTCTTCAAGCAAGACACAACCACAGTGGCCTCCTCGGCCCAAGTACAAAATTCAGCCACCAAAGGCCGTGAGAAGGAAAGAATGTCTTCATCAGCCACTCATGACCGGAACGCTCATCGTCCACAAACAAGCGCACTAAAGGAAGGGCGACCTTCCCCGTCCACATCAAGGGGAAGGTAACGGCCAAATCCAGAACATGGCCACCAACGCCACGACAGAGAACGGCCAGGGTGGTCCCGCGTCGGCCAAGAGCATCAAGCACAGAAATCTACTCTCCTTCACTTCGTCTATATCTCAGCTTAGAGAGTGGGGGACTCCTGATGGAGTATATGGGTCTAGGCCCCAGGACCCACATACTCAGAAGAACAGAAAGCGCAAGCTACCAAGCGGTGCCCTCGTCGGCCAAAGGACCCCCGTCGGCCGAAGAGGGGCCAACTCAGAATATGATCCTGAAGCCAGGGAACTTGGGTGCCCCCGTCGGCCGTGCCCTCATCGGCCGTGCCCTCGTCGGCCAGACCCCCGTCGGCCACGGAAGCCTCACAGAACTAGATTTTACACTTAATCATTCCTACACACATTGTATTCAGCCCAATAGCGGTCCAGTTGTAAATGGGCCTCCGAAGCCCAAGACTTGGGAGCCCAACCCGTATTTTCCCTATAAATACTACCTCTGGGAGTAGTTGTAGGGGTTACAAAATCATTTATTGAAGCATTTACTTGCACTTCTCTCTCTAGCTCTCACTTCTCTCTAGATATATACTCTATCATATATATCTAGAGATCAGGTGAGAAGTCCCTCTTAAAATGAGAAGTGAGAAGCAATCTTAGCCCTTGGATTTGCATCCAATCTTACAACGCAGCAAACTTATAGACTGAATATAGTAACTTATAACCAATAAATCATAACTTATAAAGCTCTCCATCTTAATTACGAAAATGCCACCGCGTCAAAATATTTTCCAGGTTTCTGGAGTTATTTGGACGCGGTGGCATTTTCATATTTATTTTCGAGGGGGTCTATAAGTTATGATTTATTGGTTAAAATTTTGTACTTTTAGCTTATAAGCTAGACTTCGCAGCTTCTCAGCCTAAGGGCACTTCTCACCTGATCCGCTCCCTATATATATAGAATAAAGATCAAATGAGAACAATGCTTAACGTGAGAACGTGAGAACACCACATTTACCCCAACGTGATGCACAACGAAGCTTGTACATTGCACATTTTCATATTTTCACAATATTTACCAAAATGCCACCGTGTTATTTAATATAGGCATAATTCGAGCAAATTGAAAATGTGCAATAGAATAGCTCCATTGTGCACCACGTTGATTTAAATGTGACCGTTCTCACGTTCTCACGTTAAGCATCGTTCACACCAGAACCGCACCCTATATATATATATAAAATCTTTATGCAAAAAATATAAAAAATAAAATTTCAGACCAGACCAGACCATATTTTATTATTATTATTATTATTATTATTATTATTATTATTATTATTATTATTATTATTATTATTATTATCATCATCATCATCATCATCATCATCATCATCATCATCATCATCATCATCATCATCATCATCATCATCATCATCATCATCATCATCATCATCATCATCATCATCATCATCATCATCATCATCATCATCATCATCATCATCATCATCATCATCATCATCATCATCATCATCATCATCATCATCATCATCATCATCATCATCATCATCATCATCATCATCATCATCATCATCATCATCATCATCATCGTCGTCGTCGTCGTCGTCATCATCATCATCATGATCATCATCATCAGCATCATCGTCATCATCATTGTTATTGTTATTATTATTGGTATTATTAGTATTATTACTATTATTATTTTTAATTATAAATGAATAAAATATAATTATTTATGGATTATAATATATATAATAAAATCTTTATGCAAAAAATATAAAAAATGAAATTTCAGATCAGACCAGACCAGACCAGACTAGACCAGACCAGACCAAAATAGATCAGACCAGACCAGACTAGACTAAAACAGACCAGACCAGACCTGACCAGCAAATTACAGTCCAAGGAAAAACATCCTAATTGGCGTTATTAACTTAATCTGGTGTCCTTGATAGAATGATAGTTGGTACTAGTTTAAATTCTTACACCACAAACAATAGATCTATTTAAATTTTAATAATGTTTAGGGGGAGTGAAATATTCTACTCCCGAGTGTACTTTTTAGTTTAATTCATATGAGTACACACTTATATTTTGTACTACCTCCGTCCCGAGAAGATTTGTCACATTAACCTTTTTGTCAATGATGTCAACTTTAGACAATAACTTTAATTACTCCGTATTATATTTGTATATAATTCATACGGAGTAGCTTTTATACTTATATTAAAATATTTTGAATAAAGGAACATTTTGATATAATTTCATATTTAAAATAATTTTGTATTAAAAAATATGAAGGGAGTACAATCCACGTACAAAACTGCTATCATTTTTATATATCAAAATTATGCATTGTTTGCATTACGTTCATTCTTATTTATCTCATATAATCATATTCTCATAATTAATCTCATTTGATCATACACTCCACGCTGACACACACACATATGTGAGGAAGCCGTCCAGCTCACTTAGTTGTCGACTCACTCTTCAATATGAGAAGTCATGGGCTCGAAACTCAATGAAGACAGTTTTCAGTCATGTTTACCCCATACCCCCCATCAACCCCCATGAAAAATAAATCAGAATGTCCGTTAAATAAATTGTAGAAAAAATTGCATTTTTACATATACTTTGGCGCAGTTTTTTTCAATAATTTATTTAACCAACTTTCCGATCAAATTCAGTTGAAATTTGATGAAAATATTCTAGAATCCGTTAAAAATATGCTCACAAAATTTCATCAATTTTTTTACATGGAAATGCATATACGGGTTTGCATTTTGAGAATTGTGGAAGGCATGAAAGTTAAGTTGCAATTCAATTTCATTTTCCCAAATAATTAAGATTTGAGACCAATAGTAATGGATTGATATTTGATAGTGCACAATTACACTGTAATAGTAATTTTATTATCTGAATGTCATGTTAGAAAAATGTGTTAAAATTGCATTAAATGGTCAATTCTGGGCAGAATTTTGAGTGGGTCCGACACCCGATTTGCGTCGTGTAACACTGCCCCCAAGTATTCGTACCTTATCAAATCATGTATTGAACCCTGACAAATGAATAAACGCATTTTACGTGATTGTAAATTTTTATCATATATTTTACGTGAATAGTAAAATTCACGCGGGGCCCACACAGGAAGTGGGGGGCCGCCCGATATTATCGGGACCACATATTATATTCATCTGGGCCTAGATAATATTTATATGATGGTGGATATCCTAATTGGGCTGTGGCAAAGGCATAGGGTTGACCGATTGGTCAAACGAGGCCCAATTATCAGTACCAGCAATTTATCAGATAACAGCCCAAAAGGGAATCTCAGAGACTTCTAAATTAAATATGGGAAAACTATATTTGTCCTAAGGTCCAGTAAGGATTGATAACATGTGTTATATGTTATTTGACCCGATAAAATAAAAAATAATTAAAACAGTCCGAGAAATACAACTTTCGGGGCCGATTGTACAATTCGGGACAAGAAGGGATGACCTCCCACATGAGTGGGGGACAACCCACGAAAATATCTCGTCAAAGTGAGCTGGGAGGCATGGGAAATGGGTGTGAGGTGAGAGGGAGTTGATTTGAGATGATTGGCATCAAAGCAAAACATGGGGGCCTCCTTCCCATCACTCATTGCTCAAATGAGCCAAAAGAGTATTCCTACCCATCCCCCTCTCATTAGTGATAAGTTCGTTTTTTAATACGCATTTGATGCGTGTTAGAGTCGGATTTTTGTAATTTTCCTAGCCTTAAGGTGCTGCAAGTCTCAATTTTAGCTCAAGTTGTGATTATCAGGCGTTGGGACGAGTTTTGTTGCATTTGGAGCTGAATTGAAGAAGTTAGAGATCAGCATCGGCGCTCAAAGAGGCAATAGGGAAGAGTTTTGAAGCATTCGAGGAAGATTTGAGAGATTTGGATGTCACCAGGAGATTCACGACGAAATTCTGATGAAGAAAAAGCATTTGGATCGATCTTATTTGCATCCGGGAGCGTTTGGAGCAAGAAACAGCGTGAAACGGTCAAGAATAGGCCAGACACGACCGTGCTTGGGCCTAGGCACGATCTTGCCCGAGGAACAAATTCACGAAGCCGCTGGAGGCCAGGCACGATTGTGTCTTGTGCCGAGGAGTTCTCTTTTTACAAGGATCCAACCGATGATGAACTTGATTTATATAAAGAAATTGAAGAAATTGAAAAGAGTAAGAGCTTTTCTTATTAAGTTGAATTTAGTGAAGTATCATTTGATGCTAATATAATGTCTAATGATTATGATTTTACTGTTTTACAGTTGCAGAAAGTACTCAAGGCTGCTCTCAATCTTTATGTTCCATCTAGATATGGTGAGCTCTTAACTTTAAAATAAATGTATAAGTATATATTAATATTAGTACTACTTTCCTATACTAAAACTGTTTTAGATAATTTCTTAATAGCAATAATGTAATGGATTAGGACTCTATTTGCTGGTTCATTGATATTTGTGAGCATATTAATTCATGATTGGATTTCTATTTTTACTTTTTTTATTAGTACGGTTTTAGATTGTTTCCTAATAGCAATAATGTAAAGGATTTGGACTTTAGTTGCTGGTTCATTAATATCTGTGAGCATATTAATTCAAGATTGGCATTCTATATTTCTGGTTGAGCATATTAATTCAAGATTGGCATTCAATATCTGGTTCATCTGTTTTAACACCATGTATGATATTTCTTTCTATATTCACAAGTGTTTAATGAATGGAGATTCCTCTTTGAGCAAGGGAGAAGTAAACAAGTGTTGGGTGTTTACTTGCTATTGTCTTGTTCTCTAATTCTTTCTTCTCAAAATTCTACTTTTCTATTTTCTGCCGGGGGGAAGTGGTGATCAATGTATTTATAAATCAAAATCATTCTTGTGTGTAAGTGTGAAACGACACACTTTCAAATGAATCTAATTACATACCACTTTGTAATATGGTTTCTTTAATATAATACTATCGTATAGGTTAAGAATAATATTCAATGTTTTCTATGTTCTCATGAAACGGATGAGTTTGATGCTATTCTAAGTGTATGGAGTCATATTGGCATTGTCTAGTTTGATAAACAATTGTTTCAGTGATGCCATCAGGTCCGTATGCTGAGCTAGTTGATGATCCTTGCTATATTAGCTGATAGAGAACCAGATCCTTGCCATATTAGTTGCTACAAATGCTTATGTACACTCAGTTTCTTGTATGAGGAGACGAGCTGCATCATTTGTAGATTAAGGAGTGGATGATGGTGCATGACTATGGGTGTTTATGTTATTTAAATATTAACTTTTATCTTTTGTTATTCTGGAAAATTGTTTATGTATGGTGCATGAAAACTTGTTTTTGTGTAATGGGATTATGGGAACTTATTTGGTCTTTTTAAATGGATGTGACCTTACTCTTGTGTTAAAATTCATTATGAAGTATCTCATTCGGTATGGTACGGTAATACCGGAAATTTCGGTATACCGAATCTTCGGTATGGTAAGGTATGAGCCTTTTGTCAAACCGATATTTCGGTATACCGAAACACGGTATTCCGAAAGTCCTGGTTCGGTATCGGTATAAAAATTTGCCATACCGGATTTTCGGTATGGTATATGGTATTGGGCTAAATTTTCGATATACCATACCGAGCTAGCCCTACTTGGAACCAACTGCATAGTGCCTTCATTAAAGAGTATTTCTCTACGTCCAAAGCCCTGAAGTTGAAGAAGCAACTACAAGAGTTCAAGCAGGGATCTCTGGAGACACTGGCTGAAGCATGGAAGAGATTCAAGGTGCTTAGGAGAGCTTGCCCTCAGGGCAATTTGACTGATTGTGAGGTTCTTTTCTACTTCTATAGCGGACTCAGCAATGAAGGGAAGATGATGCTTGATGCTTCGGGTGGTGGAGCCTTTCCTGATTTACCATCCGAGGTGGGGGAAGAACTAGTGGAAAAAATTGTTTCAAATAACGCATCCTGGTACAACGATAGGAGTTCTCCTCAGCAAAAGGCCCCGGGGTTGTATGAGATCAGTGATAATTCTGCCCTTTCTGCAAGGGTAGATACCCTGACTAGTATGATTCAGAATCTAGCCACCACCGTAGAAAATAATCAGAAGAAGACGGATCTTGCTCTCTCGATGCCCAGTGTAAACATGGTAGCCCCCAGCCCTATGACTCCTGCTTGTACTATGTGTGGGGGACTCCATTGGCCACATGAATGTAATATGATGGCACACTCGGCAGCCCCCGGAGTGGAGCAAGTTGACGCAATGTACTTCCAGCGACAGGGCTACTATAATCAGCCCTATGGACAGCAACAACAAGGGAACTACGGCCAAGGAAATCAGCAGTAGCAGCAGCCTAGAAACTATAATCAGCCCCAAGCACCTCAAGGCCAGCAACAAGCACCTCAGCTGGAGCAAGGGAGCTTTAGAAGAGAGACTGAACAAAAGTTTGCTAGCTTGGAGGAAACCCTTAAACGTTTTATACAAACTTCTGAGGCAAGGATACAGAACATGGAAAATCCACTGGGGTAGCTTGCAAAAGCCACATATGAGAGGCCTCAGGGATCCCTCCCTAGTAATAGCGAGCCAAACCCAAGAGAACATGTTCAGGCAATCACTTTGAGGAGTGGAAGAGAACTAGAACCTGCTGCCACAACAAAGAAGCCTGATGAAGTTGAAGTTGAACCGGCTGCCTGGGAAGAAGAAAGAGAAAGATGAGGGAAGAGAGGTGGCGGCTGCACCAAAACAGCCCGTTCCGGTCAAGAATTACACCCCAACTCTTCCCTATCCGGCGCGACTGACTAGGAAAAACGAAAGTGACCAGTTTGGTATGTTTCTGCATCTCATGAAACAAGTGCAGATTAACTTACCATTTGTGGATGCACTAGCACAAATGCCAAAGTACGTGAAGTTCATGAAGGATCTATTGACAAACAAAAGGAGACTGGAAGAAGCGTCAACTGTGACGCTTAATGAGGAATGCTCAGTTGTGATACAGACAGATCTACCGAAAAAGCTTAAGGATCCAGGTTCTTTTACTATTCCTTGCTTTATAGGAGACCTTACTTTTGATAGGGCCCTGGCTGATTTAGGTGCAAGCATTAATTTGATGCCTCTTGCTTTATATGAAAAGCTTGCTCTCGGTCCACTTAAACCTACACGTATGTGCATTCAGTTGGCTGATCGATCAGTCAAATATCCCCAAGGGATTATTGAAGACGTGTTGGTTAAAGTGGACAAATTTATTTTTCCGGTAGATTTTGTTATTTTGGACATGGATCAGGATCGGGAGGTACCATTGATATTGGGCAGACCATTTTTGGCAACTGCCCGAGCACTTATTGATGTTGGAGACGGTAAGCTTGTCCTTCGCGTGGGAGATGAGTCTGCCACCTTTGACATGTCCAAAATAATGAAGAGACCCTGTCAAGATAGTGAAGAATGTTTTTACATGGATGTGATGGATTCTTTGGTGGAGGATTTCATTCCTAACATGCTTTCTGATGAAGCCTTCTTTGATCTTCTTTTGGATGATAGTTTGTCAGCAGAGGATCTTGAGCTCCTCCCTAGTTTTGATTGTCTCATGATAGGTGGAGAGGAGGACTCAAGTGATGCTAGTAATGTGAAAGGGAAGGAAGATGACTTAGATAAGGTGGGGAAGGAAGACTGTCAAACTGATTCTTGTATTGTTACCCCTTCTCCATTAAATCTAAAGCCTCTTCCCTCCCACCTTGAGTATGTGTTTTTAGATGAAAGTCCTGACCTCCCTATTATTCTTGCATCCGGGCTTGAGCCATCCCAAAAATCTGCATGTCTTGATCTACTTAGTGAACAAAGGGAAGCTCTAGCCCGGAAACTATCTGACATGAAAGGAATCAGTCCTGCTTTCTACACTCATATAATTTTGATGGAAGATAATGCTAAACCGGTAGTGCAGCCACAAAGAAGACTGAATCCTAATATGCAGGAAGTGGTTAGTGAGGAAGTCATCCGTCTATTAGATGTAGGCATTATTTATCCGATTTCAGACAGCCCTTGGGTCAGCCCGACCCAGGTGGTTCCCAAGAAAGGGGGATGACTGTGGTTAAGAATGAGAAAAATGAATTGATCCCTACGCGTACGGTCACCGGATGGCGGGTCTGCATTGATTACTGAAAATTAAATGCCGCCACCCGGAAGGACCACTCCCCCTCCCCTTCATTGATCAGATTTTAGAGAGGTTAGCAGGGCATAAGTTCTACTGTTTCCTTGACGGGATGTCGGGATACTTCCAGATCCCCATAGCCCCCGAGGACCAGGATAAAACCACTTTCACATGTCCATTCGGTACCTTTTCTTATTGGAGGATGTCGTTTGGATTATGTAATGCCCCTGCTACCTTTATGAGATGCATGCTTGCTATTTTTGGGGATTTTATTGGGAAGTTTATGGAGGTTTTTATGGATGACTTTTCTGTGTATGGTGATACTTTTGATGAGTGCTTAGAAAATTTGAAGAAAGTCCTGGTTAGGTGTCGAGAGGTGAATTTGGTTCTTAACTGGGAGAAGTGCCACTTCATGGTTAGTGAGGGAGTGGTCCTAAGGCATAAGATATCGAGTAGGGGGATTGAGGTTGATCCGACTAAGGTGGATGTGATTTCTAAATTGCCTCCCCTACCTCAGTACGTGCCATTAGGAGTTTTCTAGGACACGCAGGTTTCTACCATAGGTTCATCCAGGACTTTTCTAAGATAGCCCGACCCATGACTAAGCTCCTTGAGAAGGATGCACCGTTCGACTTCTCAATGGAGTGTTTAGATGCTTTTGATTGTTTAAAGGAGAAACTGGTCAAGGTACCGGTGGTAGTAGCTCCTGACTGGTCTTTGTCTTTTGAGATTATGTGTGATGCTAGTGATTTTGTAGTAGGAGCCGTTCTTGGGCAGCGTCGAGAGAAACATTTTCAGCCTATTTCTTATGCTTCTAAGACTCTCGATAGTGCCCAGGAAAATTACACTACCACCGAGAAAGAATTGCTTGCTATTGTGTTTGCTCTTGATAAGTTTCGTCCTTATTTGATTTTGTCTAAGGTAGTGATATTCACCGATCATTCTGCTCTTAAATATTTGATGCAAAAAGTGGATGCTAAGCCTAGATTGATTCGGTATATATTACTACTCCAGGAGTTTGACATTGAGATAAGGGATAAGAAAGGGGCTGAGAATTTAGCAGCTGATCACTTGAGTAGGTTAGAGAACCCCTTTCTTGATTCCTTGAGTGAGAGAGATATTGAGGGTACTTTTCCTGATGAGAGACTTTTGCGTATCGTTGATGAGGTGCCTTGGTTCTCTGATATCGCCAACTATCTGGTTGGGGGTGTTGTCCCTTCTGATTATACACCTCATCAACGAAGAATTTTTTTTGCTGATCTGAAGTATTATTTCTGGGAGGAACCATATCTGTTTTGTATTTGTGCTGATCAGGTTGTTAGAAGATGTGTCCCCCTTTGTGAGGGAGCTGAAATTCTTAAACATTGTCACTCCGGACCAACCGGGGGACACTATTCTTTCAACCGGACAGCCCACAGGGTCTTGGAATGTGGTTTCTTCTGTCCGACTTTGTTTAAAGATGCTCTAACCTTTGTGCAGCAATGTGACAGGTGTCAACGCACCGGGGCGGTTACCAAGAGGGATGAGATGCCCCAGAATTTTATATTGGCTTGTGAGGTATTTGATGTTTGGGGCATTGACTTCATGGGACCGTTTCTGAGTTCTAAAGGTAATAAATTCATTCTTGTCGCGGTGGATTACGTTTCTAAGTGGGTTGAGGCTGAAGCCCTGCCCACGAATGATGCTAGAGTTGTGATTCATTTTCTGAAGAAATTGTTTTCTAGATTTGGAGTGCCACAAGTCTTGATAAGTGACAGGGGTACCCACTTTAGGAATGATCCCATGACACGCCTTTTGGCAAAATACAGGGTCAATCATAAAGGGGGCGTCCCAAATCACCCTCAAACTAGTGGCCAAGTTGAGAATTCGAAGAGAGACATTAAGACCATCCTTGAGAAGACCGTTGAGACCCATAGGAATGATTGGTTCGATAAGTTAGATGATGCCTGCTGGGCATTACGTACAACGTATAAGACACCTATTGGCACGACACCGTTTCACTTGGTTTATGGAAAGGCATGCCACCTTCCGGTAGAGATTGAGCATAAGGCCTACTGGGCCTTGAAAACGCTGAATAAGGATCTTTCTTTGGCGGGTCGTGAGCGGCTTTGGAAGCTCAATGAGTTGGATGAGTGGAGGCTTTTGGTCGATGAGAATTCTAAAATTAGTAAAGAGCGTTTTCCGTCATATGATCGCGTTTTAATCATATGATTACACGTCAAATTCT